ACGCCGCGATGGCTGCTGCTGTTTCTACTTCTACTTCTACCACGGCGACGACGATCACTACTACTACCACTACCACTACTACTACTACTACTACTACTACTACTACTACTACTACTACTACTACTTGCTGCTGCTGCTGCTGCTGCTACTACTACTACAACTACTACTACTACTACTACTACTACTACTACTACGTACCTACTACTACTAATCCTACTCCTACCGCTTCTGCTACTGCTCCTGCTCCTGCACCTGCGCCTGCTCCTGCGCCTGCTCCTGCTCCTGCTCCTGCTGTTGCTCCTCCTCCTCCTCCTGCTCCTCCTCCTGCTCCTCCTCCTGCTCCTGCTCCTGCTCCTGCTGCTGCTGCTGCTGCTACTTTGAAGCCGGACAGCATGATTGACATCACTTCAACTATAGACTCAAGTAAGTACGCCTGCCAGCGGGCTGGAACGTTAGCAGGTCATCTAGAATCTAGTTTACAGTTGGGCAATATGGACAGTCGGCATCGCCGAGCTATGTCCGATGACCCGTCGAGCTCTTCAGAAAAGTCCACCTGTGCGCAGTGCTTGGGTGTGGGAACAGGGGCGGTGCGTCAAACACGCTGCTGCCCGGCAGCTCTCTCGCTCCATCCGGCAGCACATGCGGCCACAGCTCCTCGTTCAAAGCACCAGAATCTTGAACCGCACGACACTCTCCACATCGATACGTGGAACTCAAGCCTCTCAACGACATGGTGTTTTTGCATAGCGGCAAATTCTCGCGCGGTCGGGTCTCTCCGGGATAGAGTCAGACATACTCAGACTGCATCTCTGCGCAGCTGCTGTCCACCCTGTGCTGTACAAAGAAAAACTTCTGTGCGCGCAAGCGGCCACGGTGAGTGCTGAGCTACGCAGGCACATTCGTTTCGGGACCGCGCGGACACAAACGAGCGGCGAGAATGCCACTTCACAGCAGACTCTGAAGTCGTGTGAAACGGCGCAGCGCCGCATGGCTGCGCTACACCTTCTATATGGATGCTAGCTGACACGCAGCCCTTCGCAGTGCGCCCTGGCAGAGAGAGGCGGTGATCGAGCAACGCAGTTGACAAGCACAACACTTTACAACACTTTAGGAAAGCCATCTTGGCGACAGCAAATCCTGTCTGATGCAAGGTAATTAGACGACTTGCACGACAGCTTGCCTTGGCATCTGAGTTCTCCGGGTCAAACTCCAGCGCTCGGCAAGCGGTCGATGTGGAACGCTGGACGAAGGCCTCCAGGAAGAGGATTCACCACACTAAGCAATAAAACGCTGGGGCGTCCTTCTTTCCGTCCATACAATGGGCACTAAGATGCAGTCTCGATGGTCTGCGAGAGAACATCGGGACAGCTGCGCTCACAACTACACTCGGTGTGGAGGTGCTGTGGCTGCATGCAACGCTTAGCCTGTTTTCTGCGCGGAACTGAAGCGTCTAGGAGCAAACGCCTGTAGACACTCCTGGGGCGCGATGCATTCAGAGGGCCGGACTTTGGTAGCCGTGAAACAAGCGATTTCCTAGTCACCGTGTGGAACGGAAATCCGAAGCTGTTCGGCAGGTCGTACCAGCACATCAAAGATGGCCTCACCTGCATGGCTACTTGTCTTTATCCTTCTCACTCGGCTGCGGTGCTCTCGGCTGTGCTCTCTCCTCGTCATTATACTTCTCGGACATGTGCTTCTTGGGATACCCACTCGTCCACTCATGGTTGTCGCTCTTCGAACGCGACAATGTCGTAAAGTTCAGGATGGCCAGGACGATGATGCCCACACTCGAGGTTGTTGAGACCGTTGCGAAGCGTTGCCAGCAGTTCATCTCCACAAACATTAGGGCGATGGCCGTGCAAGAGCCGACCTGCTTCACCACGGAGTCCAGCATCTTGGCCACAAGGCCAGCTAGCCAAGCCTTGCAAACCATCAGAGACAGGACCGCAACGGTGGAACTATCCCAGCCAGCGAAGATAGCTTCGGGCAGCTCCATGACGTCGCTCAAAGTAGTAGGGAAGCCAGCTGTGGACTTGCTCATACCAAACAATATCGAAGAAAAAATAATGCTCGAGCAGTCCACGTGCACCTTTTGTACGTAAAAGTTGCAATGCTCTCCGTCGTCTTTGAAGTACCTCTCCAAGAACACAGATGCGAAGCTCTCGCAGCAACACATACCCAGGATGTCAAGGCAACCCCACCACACATCTGCCGACCGGAGCCCGTGGGCTGGCTGTTGGAGACTGCTCTGTGGCAGAGCCTGCTTCACACTCCCTATTAAGGTCATGGCCGCCAGGATCCACAGCAAGAGCAACCTTATCCAGCTGATAATGTCTTGTTTCGAGTAATCCTTCCGGGCCTTGCACGTGTACTCCTTCCGGGTCGTCCACGTGTACATCGTAGCCACAGTGCAGAGGCAAAGAGAAGCGACGACTTGATGCATAACTTGACCTTCTCTGGAGATCATGTACAGGATGACACCATTGCAGATCATGGCCAGACACAGCCACTGTGCCAGCGAGAAGAACTTGTTCATGACAACCCGAATGGCAAGTGCCAACAGGAACAGGTTCATCTGCGAGAGAATGGATACTGCATCTGGAGGGACTCGAGTCAAGGCTTTGAACTTCAAGATCCCGGCCAACTGGAAGAAGATATTGACACACCCGACTCGACAGATTGCTTTCAAGTTGAAACATTTCTTCAGACATGTCTTCAGACCCTCTTCTTTGTCAAACACACAGGTCGCGAGAATGCCGATGAAAAAAGAGGTGATCCCAGACAGAAGCATGACAGAAGACACTGCATAGGGGAAGTCCTTTCTGCTCCGCCCCTTGGACCAGGCTTTGACAATAGAATCGTTTCCAGTGATCAGCACATAACCAAGGAAGGCAAAGCAGCTGTCCCACGTCCAGTTGTATGATGCAGGTACCGGCCGTTCAAGCAGCGGGCCGAGATCGCCGTCGAAGGCCGCAACACTGCTTCGTCTCGTTTGCTTGGTCGGTAATTGTTCGCTGACAGCTCGTCGAAAGCAGCCCAACGACCTGCAACTTCAAGCGTTACAAACGGAACACAGCTGCCATGGTGATGTGATTATCCATGCTGCAGCTGAGCGGCTCGGACCAACCAAAGGCCTCTTCCGGACAACGATGCGCATGCGCATTGGTGGTATCACTCATTGTACGGCGGAACCAGTCGGTATCAGACCTGCATCGTCGCGAGCAGGTCCATGTGACAAAAACTGAGCGAAGAAACGCGCAAACACACCATGGAATGTCGCCGGTGATGTGCTTTGTTTGCCTAATGCTATTGATCTGTTACTCTTTCTTTGTATACTCCACGGGACTCAAGGCTCGTTAGGATTTGCCGAGTGCTTCTGGCACTTCTTACTTCGCCCGTCGGCACACGGACGGATGACACACACGCACACACGTCAACTTCTCAATGGAGCGATCTTGTTTATACAATAAACAAATATTAAAAAAAAAGTCGCATTGCACTTGCAAACAGGCATCGCTTCCCCGGTCCCCTACATGGATGGCAGGCCAATGCCAGAACAACTAAGCATTGGCTGACAGGCATGTAATTGCTCATCCTTTTGCTGGGACGGTAGATTCTGTTGCGGTAATCAGCACAAACCGAAACTGCAGCGAGCACTTTCGACAGCTGGTTGCAAACTTATCGCTGCAAGTCAACGGTCTCACGATTTGTTGCTTCGAACGTCGTGAAGCACTCTGCAAAAGTTAGGATCAAAGACTACGGGCTCATTTTCTTGTTCGTCATCTTCGTATGTACAAGCCGAAGCTGTCGATCCTTGATTCTTCTGGAAGGATTTCAAGTGGGGCTTGAGCAAGTTGTTGGCTGCGATCTTCCGCTGTCTGTCCATCTTGTTGAGCATATTGGCGGTCCATGTTCGGATGATCGCTACTGCTGCAAGCAGCAAAGCATGTTTGCAGCCCGCGACATATACATGTTTTTGACATCTGATCTCACTCGCACGGCTGCGCGTCCGGACTAACTGTGGCAGCATTGTTTGATTGGATATGCTCTTTGAAAGGAGCAAGATCCGAAAGCAGACTGGATATGACTTCCTGCGTTTTCCCTTGTATTTCAAAAACTCTGCTACTGCTTCCATCACTTCTGTCAATCGCTTGCATGACGTCGAATTGTCTTCTGCCGGACAGAAATTTCACCTCGTAATAAGTCCTCTTTGATTCTTCAGCTTGCGAATAACTGAGCCGTCGTTGAAAAGGAGGAAGCGGATCGAACGCAGTTTGGATACTTCGGGGACATTGCTCAGCGCTTCCCTAGATCCGATGGGATCGGGCTGTCTTCTGAGGCCGAAACCGGCAAGCTTCATGCATGCAGTTAGTTCCCTACATGGAAGGGTCGCGCTGTCTTGATTCAATGCACTGGCAACTACTTGACGCGCAAAGCATGAACACGCGGCTGTGATCTTTTTCTCAATGGTACGTACATTCAGTTTGGGATTGTACTCGACCGACAAGACTCGGCAAGAAGAGCGAGTTTTTGAAGGATAGCCTGACACTTCTGTTGGCTGGGGCAAAGACGATCTGACTGACGTAGACTTGAAGAGGTTCGACAGCATTCCAACCTTGAACACAACACTTCTGACAAAGACTACAGGAAGACTGCTGGCAGCAGACATGAAATGAGGATGACGACACCGCTGACGAAGGCTTTACTTTGACTTCAAAGGTTGCTGGTGGCTGGTGGGGAGGTGGAGGCGGCGCCAAAGTGTCAGACGATCCCGTGGCATGTGGAAGCGTTGCTGGGAACGGAGGTGGAGGGAGCGGCAGCAGTGGAGGTGGTGGTAAGCCGGCAACTAAAGCCACTTTAGTGGCGATGTTTTGGGGTCGGAGCTACCATTAGCCTTCACTGCCTGGTCCTGATGGGCCGGCTCGTTTCGGTTCGAACCATGGATTTGAACTGGACCATTGCAGCAGGTGAGTGAAGGAGGCGTCCCTTCTTCGTATCACTGAAACATGTTGCCGTCTTCATTGGGCAGCGAACAACATGCTCCGCGCTGCCCACTGCTTTGTTATGGAACTGTGGGTCCCTTAGCTTCAGGGCGCTACACACACACACACACACCTGCCCCTTGAAATGGTAGCAGGAACGCGATTGGCTTGCACTTGGAACAGTACTGTACGACAGCTGTGTGGTGCAATACTTCACCGTGCAATACTTCACCCTTTCAAAAACTTCTTGTGAATTCGAAATAAGCGTGATCCAGGATAGTTCCTGCTGGAAGAGTGCTCGCAGATGGTTTTGACATCCACTTTCCGTTGGAACCGTGGAAAGGAACCTGTTGATGCAAGGCAGACTCTGCTGTTGACTGCAGCAAGCTCGTGACTTTCACTACCAGTAGCCTTCATGGGTTTGAACTGATATTGTTCCTTGCGAACAATGAAGGCGAGGCGTCTCTCAGCAGGATGAAATATAGCACCCAAGAACTCACCAGACTCAACCTCTTCCAAGACTTTACATGGTTCTCGTAAAAGTCAAGCTGACACATTTCAAGAAGCTACTGACGACGCTGTATCTGCTCCGAATAGACGACGAGTCTGTTCTCAACATAACGGCAAACGAAAAACTTGACAGCATACCAGCGAAGTTACGAGGTTGTTGTT